CAGGCCAGTCCTTGCCTACAGACAGCCCCGCAACCTGAAGCAAATACTCACCAACAACCACATACCACACAACAGAACCACTAACCCAGGAACTTATCCTTGCAACAAAGCCCGTTGCCAATTGTGCCCACATATCTATTCAGGGGACACCATCACAGGGCCTAATAACATCAGCCACACTATCAGAGGCTCGTTCACCTGCACATCCACCAATGTGATATATGCCATCATGTGCCAGCAATGCCCCTCTGCCATGTACATTGGTCAAACTGGACAGTCTCTACGTAAAAGAATAAATGGACACAAATCAGATGTCAAGAATTATCACATTCATAAACCAGTCGGAGAACACTTCAATCTCTCTGGTCACGCAATCACAGACATGAAGGTCGCTATCTTAAAACAAAAAAACTTCAAATCCAGACTCCAGCGAGAAACTGCTGAATTGGAATTCATTTGCAAATTGGATACTATTAATTTAGGCTTAAATAGAGACTGGGAGTGGCTAAGTCATTATGCAAGATAGCCTGTTTCCTCTTGTTTTTTCCTACCCCCCCCCCCCCCCCCCCGATGTTCTGGTTTAACTTGGATTTAAACTTGGAGAGTGGTCAGTTTGGATGAGCTATTACCAGCAAGAGAGTGAGTTTGTGTGTGTATGGGGGTGGGGGGATGTGAGAAAACCTGGATTTGTGCAGGAAATAGCCCGACTTGATTATGTAAAGAGTTGTCACTTTGGATGGGCTATTACCATCAGGAGAGTGAGTTTGTGTGTGTGGGGGGGGGGGGGGGGTGAGAAAACCTGGATTTGTGCTGGAAATGGCCCAACTTGATGATCACTTTAGATAAGCTATTACCAGCAGGACAGTGGGGTGGGAGGAGGTATTGTTTCATGATCTCTGTGTGTATATAATGTCTGCTGCAGTTTCCACGGTATGCATCCGATGAAGTGAGCTGTAGCTCACAAAAGCTCATGCTCAAATAAATTGGTTAGTCTCTAAGGTGCCACAAGTACTCCTTTTCTTCTGGGGGCTGACACTCCAGGGATTGAACGGGGTGCCACCAGCTGCTGTTTTTTGCATTGGTGATTGGTCCCATCAACCACTGCTGGGAGCCACAGAGCCCTTTCTGGGGAACACAGAACCAGGGCCCCTCTGAAAGAAGAGTCAAGATCTAGGGCCAGTGCACTGGTTGAACCAAGAGGAAGTCTAACTAAAATTCCCTGGCAACCTTTGGCCTGTTGGAGTCGTGATTCTCAACATCCCCTCCTGCAGGACCCGTGGAACAGGGGTCACATGTTCTCCTTAAACAGCTGCCGCATTCCAGCCTAGCAGTGGCTGCACTGCAATGGGGGGCTGGGGGGGGGGATTCAGAAAGTCACAGATTTTAAGGCCAGATGGCACCATTCTGTCATCGAGTCTGACCTCGTGTGCAGCCCAGCCCAGAGGGTTTCACCCCCTCGCCCCTGGATTAAGCCCCAAGAGTGGTGTTTGACTAAAGCAGGAGGGAGCTCAGCACGCTCTTCCCTGCCCTGGCCCTCTCCTTGACTTGAGTCGGTGGCTGGGGCTTCTATACACAACCCTCGCAGCTACTGGGCCAGATCCATCGCATCAAGGACTTCAAGGCAGCTGCACCGGTCCACATCTGCTGAGGTTCTGCCCCCCACCGCCCGCACCGTGTCTCTCCTGTTGCTCTGTCCTGCCTTTGGGGCCAGGTGGTGGGGCCAGAGTAAGGAACCCGGCGGGCTGTGGAGCGGCTCCCTTCCAGGTCCCTGGTTCCAATGCTCCCCTGGGGCTGGGGGCTGGACGGCATTATCAGGGGCGATGCTCTCTTTGTGAAATGGGTTTGCTGGGGTCTCCATTCTTGGCGGGCACTAGTTTGTCTCCCCATTGTTCTTTAATTCAGTCACCTGTAATAATGCCCCTGATGCCCCTGGGGGAGCAACAAACACAAACCTACACTGAGAGGTCAAGGACTGGACAGAGGGAGAATAAACTCTCCTCTCTGTCCTACGGGGACCTCCAGGGCAAGGGCAGGGGCAGGGGCAGGGGCAGGGGCAGGGGCAGGGGCGGGGGAGGGATAGCTCAGTGGTTTGAGCATTGGCCTGCTAAACCCAGGGTTGTGAGTTCAATCCTTGAGGGGGCCATTTAGGGATCTGGGGCAAAAATTGAGGATTGGTCCTGCTTTGAGTAGGGGGTTGGACTAGATGACCTCCTGAGGTCCCTTCCAACCCTGATATTCTATGATACTTCTATGACTGTCTTCTAGGGCCTGACACACCAGGGATTGAATGGGGGGACTGTCTTCTAGGGCCTGACACACCAGGGATTGAATGTGGGGCCCTCCAGAGCAAAAAGCAACAAGTGGCTAGAACTTGAGCTAAAGAGCCAGGCTTCTGCGGCTGTAGCTGCAATAGACCAAGCCCAGGTTTGTTTGCTGCATTGTTGTAGCTGTTTTGGTCCCAGGATATGAGCCAGTGGGTGTGGTGATGGACCAACTTCTGCTCGTGAAAGAGACAAGCTTTCGAGCTGCCCCGAGCTCTTCTCCAGGTCTGGGCTTGGATTGACACAGAGGGGGCCTCACTGTAACACACACTCATCAGGGGGGCACTATTTGCAGGGTTAGAAACCAGGCACACACCTGCCTTTCCAAATGATTTATCGGCTTTCTGCTATACCTCTGGTTGCCATAGAAATGAGAGTGAAATAAGTATTGCTAATAATTAATCCTCAAAAAATAACATTCACCCTTGTACCGAGCCCTTTTCAGCCCAGGCCCACCAAGAAGGAGCAACACAGTTTGCCCCCATTTTACTGATGTGGGAAGCTGAGGCACTGGGAAGGGAAATGCCACAAGACAGCAGCAGAGCAGAACGCAGGAGTCCAGATGCCTAGTCCCCTCCCTTAACTATTCGATCATACCACTCCCTCCTTAAAAAAACAAAACCAAAACAAAATAGAACATACAGCAGGGATGAAGTCGGGCCACAAGCTACTGCCACAAGACAAGGTATTTACACCAGAGACCAGGCTGGTCCTATGGCTTCCCTGAGGGAATGGAGACCGGCCCTGTAAGCAACGACAATGAAACCTGGTGGTGGTCTCTCTCACTGGGAGTCGCAGGGCCTGACCCCTCTCACCCTGGTGTGAACCAACGGGCTAAAATCAGTGATGGGGAGAGGAGGATCGTGCCCTATTCTAGAGGGTGCCCACCTGATACAAGACCAAGAAGCTCAGCAGGGCTGGGGCCTCAGCTCACGGGCAGCAGTGTCCCCACTCAGCACAGCTGGGCAGGTGTGGCCAGCACTGTATGTCCCATGGGTGTGCTCAATGCAGTTAACAAAGGTGCCGGTGGAGAGCAGGGTCCACAGGCCCGGGTGCCACTGGCGGTCTGCTCATTGGCAAACAGGCCGGGGAGTATCCTGGCCTCGCGGGGGTGGGTTTGTCTGTGAGCCTGATCCCTCTTTAGGCCCTGCTCCTCTCTGCCCCATGTGCCCCTCCCAATGCAGCTGCTAGCATATGTGCCGTGTGCAGCCGTGGCACCAAACTAGCCTATTTTCTTCCCACCGCCGATCCTGGCAGTCCCCCCACCCACCGCCTTACAGCGGTGGGACTCAGGACCTTTGCTCTGGAAGCATCAGTCGCTCTGCAGCCATGACGTACCATGCAGCGGGCGTGACACGTATGCAGCAAATGTGTGTGGTGGGGTGGGAGTCTGGGGCCACTGTGCAGGAAGGCGGATCTCCGCGTAGCCTCGCACTAACTTCAGGGCCGATGCGGGTGTAACAAGCTGGTCCCTGGCACCCATAGCCCAGGACCTACGAGCCTCTGGAGTTAAAGGAAAACGGGCTGGGTGAGAACTCAGTTTCCCGGCGCAGCTGGAGAGCTCAAGGGCCCCGGCCTCACCCCACAGGAGATGCTGCTCCCATGAGCAGGGCGAAAACCCTGCAGCCAGCAGGGGGCAGTGGTGCGGCTCCGACACACCAGCATCCTCAATACACCGCCCCCCCGGGGGCAGGTCTGTCACAAAGGTGGGCGCTGGGTTGTGTTTGTGTTGGGAGCTGACACACAGCTCCCGGCCTGACTGAGGCCACCGCCCGCTGGCTGATGCACAGTCCTGGGAGCTAGTTCACAGTCCCCGGCGCTGATTTACACTTCTGGGGTGTCTCGGGTGGGGGGGGGGGGTCTCACGTTTCTACTCTTTTGATCGCAGGGCCCGGCTTGCTGCCTTCCTCAGCAGTGTCAGGGAGATCTCAGGGTCCAGAGCCTGGTCTTTGAGGACCACGGATTTAGACCCCAGCTGCGCGTGTGTGTCTCTCGCAAGCCCCTTTGTGTACGGCCCGCCTGGCTCCCCCGCCCCCCACGGGAGGGGAATGGGGGGGGGGTCCCTCTCACACTCACCAGGGAGCCCAGGGGGGTGAGGGAATCGCTTTTACTGGACCAGCTTCTGCTCTGGTACTGAACTAGGGTGACCAGATGTCTTGATTTTATAGGGCCAGTCCTGACATTTGGGGTTTTTTAATAGGGTGGCACCTATTACCCCTCGCTTGCTGTCGGGTCGCCCCGCGCTGCAAGGGCAGGGCAGGGCGCCTCCCGGCGGGGGTGTCACGCACACGGGCTCACCCCCACCCTCGTGCCCAGCCCTTTAAAGCCGGCCCGGCCCCGCCCTCCCCGGCCCGGATTGGCCCGGCCCCACGCTCCGCGGCGGGGCTGGCTCGGGCGCCCGGCTCCGCTTCAGGCTTGTCAGTTTCACCGCGGAGCTTGCGCGGCCCCGGCCCTGGCTCCGCATCGCTCCGCGGGGGGCGGATGGAGCAGCGCCCCGCTCAGCCCCGCGCCCGGCATGCCCGCGCCCCCTGCCGCCGCCCCCCGCCCCTGGCTGCCTCCGTCCCCAGCTGAACCGGGGCGGCTCCGGCCCCGGGACCCCCGGCCCCGCCTCGCCTCCCATGAGCTGTAGCCCCCCCCGCCCCCCCGCAAGACACGCCGGGGTGGCGAGAGGCCGCGGGCATGGCGGCCCCCGGGGACTGCTGCGTCCAGGTGGCGGTCAGGTAAGCGGCCGCGGTGAGGGGCTGGCGCCGGGAAGTGGGGTGATGGGCTTTGGGGGCAGACAAAGGTACCGTGCGTTGGTCCAGCCCCTTCTGCGGCTCGCCCCCTTCCTCCTGCTGCTGGGGGGTCCATGGGGTTAAACAGAGGTGCAGAATTCGGGAGGGGCTGCATGGGGCCGGGGGGCTGGGTGTGCAGATCAATACTGGTGGGTTGCGTGCCTTGCAGGGGGGGTGGGTTGTGTGAGCTTTATCTGGAGCCTGGATGGGCACAGATCAGGATGGGGGCTGTGCGCCTCCGCAGCTCGATGTTGTTCTGGTTTTTGCCTAGGGGTGTGTGTGTGTTGTCTAGGATGTGTGTTTCTGAGGCACAGATCAATATTGTTCTGTCTTCTGAGACAACACTGGGCTGCTCTCTGCCTCTCTCTCTGAATCCGGCCGGCGCTGACCGCTCTGAAAGATAACCAGTGAGGAAATCCTGTATTTCGCACACTAGCCTAGCAGTTTGCTGGGTTTCCTCCCCGCCTGGCGTGCGCTCCATTTATTTTCGTTATATTTTTGTAGCCCAACAAAGCCCCGGGTCGTACAATGAAAGAGCTGTGTGTGTCCCTGAGGCCTGGATGACCCCCCTTTATCTCCAGCCACCAAAAATCCGTTTCCTGGCCTGACAGTTTGGGGGGGTTTGGTTTGGCAAGAGCTGCTCCTTTCTGTTGTAATTTGGTGTTAATCTGTTGTAACCAGGACTCTCCTCTCCCCTTGGTCTGAGTGGCCTTCCAGGTGTGTGGGAGAACATCCCAAATGTCCTTGTTGAACGTCAATGCTGCTTTACCTCCGTTCTCCCTTGTGGGTTTCCGCTTTGCAGCTTTCCCTCATCAAATGTGCTTGTTTCATGGCCATTTTGTGTGTGTTTTAAATGCAATCGGTGACAAATGTGGCTGCAGCAGTCCCTTTATCCTCCCCGAAGGTGTGAGTCTCCTGCTTCAGTGGGAAGGTCGGAGACACTGCCTCATCTCGGCATCCTTTGTGCTTCCTCCTGGCCTGGGAACAATAGGGGAAAGATTTTGCACTTGCATTTTTTTTAATAAAGGATCTGTAAATGGCATCTAATCTGTTTGCAGTTAATGGGACTACTGTGAGCTGTGCTGTGTGTCTCTAGGTGGTGGTAGGGTGCATGGGGCGTTAGGGGAGAAACTGAGGCAAGATTTCTAGTAAGGTATTGGCACTGGGTCTCAAGGAGGATTGCAGAGCCCTTGTCAGATTCGGGGGTTCTTTGTTGAAGCCGCAGGGCTGGGTGTATTCTGAGTGCAGCCACTAGGATCCTGGAGCCGACTGTCATTTTCGTTGCGGCTCGTTGCCAAGAAAGGAGCGGTGGGGTGAGGGAGGGGAGACCCTGCTGCATAAGCGCACCTTATTGAGCTACCGTCGGCGCTGGGGCAGGTGGGAGGGGAGGTAAGCAAGTCTGTTGCAGACTGAGCCACTGTCCCAGCGTGGAGGACGGGCTTTGACTTCTGGCCCTGGGCAGCACTTCCCCTTTGGCTCCGCCTGCACAGAGGTGACCGTCTGCCCCGTGTTGAGTGGTCACCAAACCCGGGAGCCTATCTGCTGGATCACCCAGTTCAAGTGACCCTGGCCTGGGCCCTCTTAAAGCCAGAGTGCTTACACTGAAAGCACCGAGGGACTTGGGGGGTCTAACGGAGGCAGGATTAGAGGCCCTGTTGTTTAAACCTGGTGTTTCTGGGGAGTTGGTCTCTATGGAAATTCTCTGAAATATGGTCCAGCTGAATCAGTTTTGAATCTGATTGGGCCAGGCTGTGTAGACAGGGCCTAATAGTCTCTCCAAATTCTTCTCCCTGCCTTCGTTATAGTGGTAACCTCTCTTGTTTTCCATTGTCTTCTGTGATGGGGGTGAGCGGTGGGATCTCTGCCTGTGGGGAGTGCTGCAGACCCCTCCGGGAGGTGGGGGGCAGCTAGTGCTAGACTGATGATGCAAGAGACTATTTTAAATGCAGCATTTGAAGCAGGCCTGTGTGTGTCTGAGAAATGGCCATCAACGGGAGCTGCCCTGCGCCCCAGCTCACTCAGATCTCCTATGTCTTTACCTGGGAGGCAACTCGTCCTTCCCCCCCGCACCCCCGGCTCAGGAGAGGATGGCCCCGGTGGCCCAGATTCTGATTTGGCTTGAGCTGGTGTAAATCTGGAGTGAAGTCAATGGAGTCTGCACTGACCCACTAAGAACCCCTTAAGTGGAGCAGCCAAGCCCCTGACGTCAGGGGGAGGAGCGGGTACTGCTAGGAGACCTTGTCTGCTCCGGGATATTAGCTCAGGTAACCTGCACAGTTACTGTGTTGCATGGGTTTAAATTGTCTCCCATGGGGGTTTGCACTGGTGCCCCAACCCTCTGTGTGTGCCCAAGCACAGGGGTTTCCCACCCGTCATTCATCTTGCATTTCTTTCAGGACAGATCCTCTAACAAAAGCCCCCAGTCTGGGCTGCTGGAGGCTCCCCCTTTCTGAGGTGAAAGGATGGCTGTAGTTCTGGTGAAGGACTATTGTGGGCCTTTATAATCGGCGGTGCCTTGCTCCCAGCTAATCCCCATTAGCCTGTGTCTACTAGAGGGATTCTCAGGCTCACGTGGTGCATTGCTGGCGAGCAGCTTTTGAAAGCCCTCGGTGGCCCAAGGGTGAGCAGAAGGGCTGGGGGAGGGAGAGAGGGTATCAGTCTCCGAATCGTGCGTTCTGGAGAGCGTCAGCGACGGTGTTTGGTTGCGGCTTAGCTCGGATGGTGGAGGATGAGATCAGCAGAGGGAAGGGTGTGTATGTGGGAGCATGTGTGCTCTGTGGGTTCTCAGGCTGATCCTTACCCAATCTGCCCTGTGCTCCATTGTCTTTAGAGCCTCTCCTAGCTCCAGATATTGGTTCGGGGCGAGGCTGTTTGCAGCTGATCTGGCCAATGAAAGCTGGTTTGGGGCGGGGGGAGGAAGAACAGGGCGCATGCATTGGAAGCGGAAGGTGAATTGGCAGGACAAAGGAGGGGGTTTAGAAATAAATGGTAATAATGAGGCCAGTGGTGGCCAATGGGACAGCAAGGCAGGATTGCAGCACTGGGCTGGAACAGTACAGAAAGGGTCCCAAACACCAGCCCGGGCTGTGGAAGGGCCTCGCGCTTTTTGGCTGTTTCCGATACAGCGCTAGGACTTCCAGTGTGTTGGAAGGGGGAGGGGGTTGCCTGTCCAACTCCCCTGCAAACCCAGGCCCGAGCGTGCTGGGCACTTGGAAATCTGTAGCGCGTTATCTGCTAAGACCCAGACAGACACGAATGACTCTGCCCTGGGGGGTTGAGAGCTTTAACCCCATTTTCAATCAGGCTGTGGGATCGCCGCCTTTGGAATGATACCAAACCGCCCTTGCCCAGCCAGCAGGAGCAGCTGGACTCTGGCACGCCTGGGGTGTGCGCACCCCTCTGTGCGTGACCAGGTGCCTGCGTACGCAGAAGTGGGGAGTCGCAGCTCTGCAGCGTGACCCGATCTGGGAGGTTCTGGCTCCATGGAAGGCAGAGAAGCAGAGGGGTTTGAAAAGCCACCTTTGGCCACCTTTGGCTTGGGAAGGAAGGTGAGGCGATGGCCAGAGGTTTTACCCTCCCCCTTAGATGCACAATGTCAAAATTTGCCCAGCCAATGGCTCATCGGACTGGTGCGATCGAGGCAGGTCAGTTTCATAGCTATGGCAGGAGAACCATGTGGCCAGCATCCCGTCCAACTGCCTTTGGCTGTCCTGCCCCAATGGATCAGGTACCCGGTATGCAGCTGGGTGAACTGGAGGTGGCCTTTCAGGGTGAGATTGAGCGAGACTTGAACCCATGACCTTCAGGACTTGCAGTCGAGCGCTCAGACCCTGCACCTCGTTCCATGGATCCACCCTGACCCAGAATTCACAGGAATCTTTGGGGTACCCCTGGCTTCTGCTGTGCTGCGTGCCCCGCCAGTTCCCGAGGATCCTGGGGCCACACCGCTATGGAGGTGCGGTATCAAGTGGAGTGCCCCAAGGGTCGGTCCTGGGGCCGGTTTTGTTCAATATCTTCATAAATGATCTGGAGGATGGTGTGGATTGCACTCTCAGCAAATTTGCGGATGATACTAAACTGGGAGGAGTGGTAGATACACTGGAGGGGAGGGATAGGATACAGAAGGACCTAGACAAATTGGAGGATTGGGCCAAAAGAAATCTGATGAGGTTCAATAAGGATAAGTGCAGGGTCCTGCACTTAGGACGGAAGAAGCCAATGCACAGCTACAGACTAGGGACCGAATGGCTAGGCAGCAGTTCTGCGGAAAAGGACCTAGGGGTGACAGTGGACGAGAAGCTGGATATGAGTCAGCAGTGTGCCCTTGTTGCCAAGAAGGCCAATGGCATTTTGGGATGTATAAGTAGGGGCATAGCGAGCAGATCGAGGGACGTGATCGTTCCCCTCTATTCGACATTGGTGAGGCCTCATCTGGAGTACTGTGTCCAGTTTTGGGCCCCACACTTCAAGAAGGATGTGGATAATTTGGAGAGAGTCCAGCGAAGGGCAACAAAAATGATTAGGGGTCTGGAACATATGAGTTATGAGGAGAGGCTGAGGGAGCTGGGATTGTTTAGCCTGCAGAAGAGAAGAATGAGGGGGGATTTGATAGCTGTTTTCAACTACCTGAAAGGGGGTTCCAAAGAGGATGGCTCTAGACTGTTCTCAATGGTATCAGATGACAGAACGAGGAGTAATGGTCTCAAGTTACAGTGGGGGAGGTTTAGATTGGATATTAGGAAAAACTTTTTCACTATGAGGGTGGTGAAACACTGGAATGCGTTACCTAGGGAGGTGGTAGAATCTCCTTCCTTAGAGGTTTTTAAGGTCAGGCTTGACAAAGCCCTGGCTGGGATGATTTAACTGGGAATTGGTCCTGCTTTGAGCAGGGGGTTGGACTAGATGACCTTCTGGGGTCCCTTCCAACCCTTATATTCTATGATTCT